CAAAGTTTTATACGGCTAATATCATTAATGTGTAGTAAAAAAAAATTGAAATGGGTTGCACACCAATTTTGATGATAGTGGGTAATTGCTGTGGTAATGTAAAAATACTCTTAATGTAATGTATCCATTCAATAACAGTAGAAGATATTTAGAAACCTTATTTTTTTAACGAAAGGGCGGGGGAAGGGGAGTGTGTTATTAGAAATGTCAGATATAGCCGATCAAGAAAGTGATTTTGAAGTCCCGGTTGACTCAAATCCTTTTTAGATTCATATACAGTTGGAAATTGGTAGCCTAGTGTTGAATGGATAATGACATGCAAATCGGACATTATTCTTTGATTTAATATCCCTTTATAAAAAAAATATAACCGATTTGAAAATTTTGAAATTTCAACCACTGAATTCGAAAAAAAAGATGTGACGCAAGTGCCATCCAGATTGGTGAACATTATCATCGTTGATTCTCAATCACATATTCTAAAGTTTTACCATTTAGAAAGGTGTGCATTTATTGATATCCTTTCATTTAAAAAAATGACCATTTTTTAAAAAAAAACATTGGAAATTTAAACCATTGAATTCGGAAAACGAAATGCGTTCAAGTACGGAACCCATGTCACAAAAGTGCTACTTAGTAAATTTAATTGAACTAATATAAGTGAGTGATTATTGATGACCTTCTGGAAGTAGCTGATATTATTATCTTTACAGCCTCCAGCATTTCACTGTCATTTATACTCTATTAGTGTATTTCTAATGGTGATTAAAACGTTTAACTTTCGAGAACTGGAAATGAATGTGTGATACTAACAACTTACATGGTTAAAATTCGAATTCGTTAACGAGTTAACGTGATGACGTGTTAACATGGAAATTCGATATTTCATTCCGTTATGCTAGGTTCCCAATATCACGATTTGCGACACGATTGAAATCGTGGCCTTAATCGTGGACTATTCGTGACTATCTTATCAGATTTGATAGGATTTTTGGGCCAGTAGTGGCAATCGTTTAAAGAATAGAAACTTTTTGAATGGTTCAACAATTTTCTCCGATCAATCGAAATCATCGTATCACATCGTATTGCCATCTATCAAACCAAATACATGCTCTGATGGCAAAAAACATATAGAAATAGAAAGGTTAAGTGTGGCCTGGATGTAACTTGATCATCCAACCCAATAACGACCTTTAAATCTACACGGAACATAGAGATGCTGCTAACAATATTTATATTTTACCAAGTCAGATCTTTTAATAATCATCTTCAGTTGGCCGTCAGAAAACACTTAAAAGTTGTTTTTAAAGTATTAAAACGATGCAATCGAATGCCTTTTTGTCTGATGTTTTTGCTGTTTTATATCTCTCATTCTTTCTGTGCATACATAAACATCTACAAAATAAGTTAAAAGTGAAATGTGTTTTTAATGCTGTTAAAAGCCCAAGTCTGTAAAAAGCATGATGGGAATTTAATGCAATTGAACTTACTCTTTAAGATTTAAGACTATTTAATTCGTAAAGAAAATTGCTTTTACGTTTTCATACTACTATGTGTAAAGATATAATTTACTTTTAAAATAGGCACTTCTATTTCATCGTCGCGTTCAGATGTAAATGCTTTTATAATGTAAATGTTTAAACCTATAAGTAACAAACAATGATTATAAATTGAAATTTTGCAATTTATCAATTCTTAATTTGTACTATTGGCGTATCACGCAAACAAATAATTCACTGTTATGTTTGGGTTATCAGATTCTGGTATACAGAAAAATAACTTCGTAGAAAAAAATACTCTTCATTGCCTGATCTGAATAACTGAATATAAACGGAATAGTCTTGTACGGAACTTCTACTTCTAGCGACACAAGATTCTCTTTATAAGGGGTTCTGTTACACATTGGATTACAGCGTTGGTAACTGATCTTGCTTAGTAATGTCGAACCACTGGTGTTCTTACCTCGTTTGCCATTATTCCAGTCGACCAAGCTGGTAAAAATTGTCACCGAAATCCGAGAAAGATCCATAAAAAGATGTTTGACAGGTTGGGTAGAAAGGATCATTGTGAAGTCCTTCATCATCTTCTACCTTGTTGTTCATTATGAACGAGCAACCACGAACTGCCCGACGAAATACTGCAAATGTCCACAATGTTTTGTTCAAGATATATTAACTCCTACAGACAACATGTACGCGAGATATTAAGTTGCTTCTGAAACAGAAGGATAGTCTTATCTACTTTACGATCAAACAATCAAACAAGATATCAATCAAGCTAGGTATTAAATTTGCTACTACCAGATACACATGGATAATGCATAGTCTTAAAAACGCTTGAATCGACTATACTCGGTTTCAAAGTGTTTCCAATGAAGATAAAAAAAAAATCAAATAAATGTAAATACAGATTACTGATTTCTTATTTAACAACTATTACCAAACTGTATTGATCTGGACTAGCAAACAAAACAGGTCTCCGATCTGTGCACTTAGAAACGCTGAAAGCAGTTCTCTGGACTCTTATAACTGAAACTTGACTGTTCAATTTTCCATTTAAATTGGTATACTTGTATGATTCCTGTATTAATTTATGAAATAACAGGTCACTTTTATATAACATTTGTTTTGATATCAATGTTTCTTTTTCCGTTTCATTTACTGTTTTTCATGGTCAGTTAATCAGGACTCGGTTATATTAAGCCTCGGTTAAATCGTTTATACATCAGTCATTTGAGTTGCAGAAATAGTTTAGGTGAGTCAGATTATTTTTATTTTGAAACAAAATATTTTTGATGAAAGTATCACTTATATAAACTAAGGAGTACTATATATCATACATTTGTGTTCTGTTATTTAATGTGATCTCTACCACTAAATGTCGCTAAAGGATTACTTATTTAGGTAATTGTTATGGTATTCCTTTTAGAATGTATTCTCTTTTTAATAACAAGAGGGGCTAAGATCGACCTTGCGGCTAACAGAATATGAGAAACCGGATTTTGAAACGAACGCTATCATTTACATAGAGAAACTGATCAATCTCGGGAGTGCAATGGTGACTGAAATGTTGCTTAGACCATCAGTTTTGTTTCGACCAACTTGTTGATTGTATTTATTCAGTGTGTCTATATGGGCGTAGGACATGGACCTCTGTTTACACTTTTCAACTTACCTTTGAAATCAGTTCACCACCTCTTCATTGCTCGTTACAAATTGACTAATTAGTTTATGTGTGTTGGGTGGATTGTGAAATCTGGTAGAATAACATAATTAGTGAAATAGATAAATGTTCAACACTTATTCCATGACAAAGAGACATGTGCAACAAGTACTTGTTGTTAAAAGAAGAACGCCTACCAGCTAACATCTTTTGTCCGAATCAATCAAATGAGTGACACACTTCTTACTGCATTGTAATCCTTCTCTGAAGTTTTTCTACTAAATTGACAGCTGATATTGACTATCTATCCACCTTATGGTGCTACTTTAATCTCTTTAAGAATGACATGCATTTTCATCAACAAAAAATAAAAATCTGTTTTAACACGATTAGCTTTGGATGTCAAAGGTCCATTGGCATTTACTTGATGGTCTCATTGACTCATTGAATGGGCTTTAACAATCCTTTACTAAACATCTTGTGGTTTGTAAGGGATTGCAACTGTCCAAAAGGTTACTTCTTTTGCTTGTTTTATTGTGTCTTGTTTAAATAAGAGTTCATATTCTGTCCTCGAGGATTACACATTTAAACTGTTTGTTGTTGTATGGATATTAATCAATTAACAATTAATGAATTTGTAAGTAAGAATGCTATCAGTGAAGCTGGTTTTTGTAGTTTTGATTTCCCTCTCCGTATAATTCAAAAATCTGTTCGATATATCAGACTAAAGGGAATTAGATAGTGAAAAATAGTGAAAAATGCATGCCCGTTTGCGACTTTCTGGCAGTCAAATAGTAGAAGTTGCTCAGTAAGAATGAATGCAGTCGTCAAATCGTTTTAACAGCTAAGATATGTAGAATAGGTATTAAACAGTGTCTGCTTTAGATCGTAACTTGATCAGTTCTCAAAACTTAAATTTCGATGTAATTGAGTACTTTATCATGGTATATATTTTATGGTTAGTACTTAAAGGTCCTCGTAGTACCGAGTTGCACACACGGCTGTAAGTTTCTTCCATGATTCAAAAAACTGTTACTGATTCATTGTATCTGGAAAGTTAGCCATTTTATCAGCAATGAGCAGGTAAATAAATCAATAAACATTAATAAGACGTCAACAAATGTCTTAAAAGAAAATTTACGAGTTATTGCAAAGTTTAAAATAACTATAAATTGACAGGGTTGTTGAAATATGTTTATTTTGGCATAAGTTTACCCGAAATATAATAGCCAATTATGCAAACTTAAAATAATAGCATATGTTAACGATAACCTTGTTTATATTTACAGATTCCAGAAAGTGTATACAGAATTTACACACAGATTTAACAGGAAACGTTACATGATATATTATATCTGCTGTTATCATATACTTTATGTTAATAGTTAGTGTTATGGAATATTTCTTTGTGATTATTATTGTTGCTAGTCGGACCAACACATTTATTCAATTGGAATAGCCCATGTCGAACTGAGTAATCCATGGCTTAGTATCGTTTGCTTGCTCTCTACAGGTGTATAGTGAAACATTGTTCTGGATTATTGTATTATCAGATACAGTAGAATGTGTGTTGAATGTGAACAATATGTGACTACATATGAATCAATGATGATGAATTCCGCTAAAATTTACCAAGACTTCAAGTGACCGCCAACATGACAACGGAATCTCCTGTTACTCTCGGTGTTACTGGACTTCAAGAATTATCGCCGTTTCCATTAAGTGCCAAGCTTGGAACTGGTGGAGAAGGTTCTACTAATCATTCTAATTTGACTACAGGGGAATTAATGTTAAGGATCCTGGGACCACAGACAAAAGATTTCTCATCGTCCGTCCTGTTAACTGTTGTTTATAGCCTCGTTTTTCTCTCAGGATTTATTGGAAATTTGTGCACGTGCGTTGTCATAGCAAAAAATAATTACATGCAGACGACAACAAATTATTATCTGTTTAATTTAGCTGTCTCTGATTTAATGCTGATTATATTTGGTAAGTAGACATTCACAAATTAATGAGCGCCTTTTGTAACCAGTATTGCTGCTCCTGAATCTTACATGACAAATTAGTAGCTCATGTCATGATAACAATCTGTAGCTTTGATTGCAAAACCAATTGCCCGTGTTGCTCTGGAACGGATACTACAATGAATAAGCTGGTGGTGTGTTGTCAATGTCTCACAACAATGCTTATTCATCCAAAATAATTGTCATGAAAATGCGTCCTAACTCAAAAAACTTTTCTTATGTTACAATTGATATGATTAACATTGTAATTATAAACGATGTAATGAATGATAAATGCTTTATTCACTGAATAATATTCCCTCACTAATTGATTAATTGATGTTATCATTGACAAAATTATTCATAATGAAACCTTCTGACGTAATACCTATATAGTTTTGTAAGCATATACTAAAACTAAAATGTTACTTGAATAACAATTTAAACGAGGAACAATCATGAAATAATCACGTTCAGGGCGCTCTAACCCATATTGGTGTCAACTTTAATATGAATAAACATCAAAACACCCGCATAAAATGTATTCTATCAAGATGTAAGTTATTTTGGTGAGCTTATAATTTTCGTCCAAAACCATTTAGTGTCGCTTTTCCATTTCCATCATTTGAGTAGCCCTACAAATCTGCCCTACCCGTCCCTAGACATTTGAAACATCCTATTCGTATATCGCGTCCGAGAAATTGGTAGTACCAGATTTGTTGGGCTATATCATTTATGTAACGTAGGAGATTTTGAAATGCATTTCACATTCAAAATATCTCAACTTTGAAAATAAACCGCTATAGATCCCAAATAGCTCCGAAAAATGAAATTGAGAAAGATCAATATGAGGCGACATAATGAATTTATATGAAGGTTATATAAAGAATTACATACCGAAATACTACCATTACCCTGCAATCCCTTTAAGGAAAAATATGAGCAATGATAAACTTATAGCTCAATTCACATTTCAACATAATTATCCGATTCCCACGGCTAGTATCAGATTCTTATCTTACATAATGATATAATCTCTACCAATTTTATCAGTCATTCGTGACATTTTAAACTCGCAATTTTTTATTATTGGAAGTATTCATAAGAACTGTCAAATCAAAAATAGAGTTTTCCAATTATTACATGCCTGATAACTTCATTTCTGACTGACTACAAAATTGATGCTTGACCTTCTAAAAAAATTCTAGACAAATAAGAATGGTAACTTTCGTGTAGTAAGAGAACATAATTTCTAATGCAAACATAGCTTCAATCCAGTTACAAACATCAGGCTTTTATGATGCGTCGCCATACCAGCTTTTTCCATTCAATTTTCAACAAAGGACGGATGTCGTATTCAACTTTCGGAGCTGATCTGTTAAACCAATAAACGAATAAAACTGACCGATATGCAAATCTAATCGATATAAGATCAACAAATTTGAGGACCAAATTCCTATCGTTAAATTGGAAAAGGGTCTAGTAACGTGTTTTATGTTATTTTCAATATTAGTTCACCCATCAGATGGTAAACCTTAGTGAAGAAGTGGCAAAAATCGATACAACAGCATATATCCCTAAACTGTTGTACAAAATGACAAATACGCAAAAGTTTAATCTCAGTAACCTATCACAAAAGAATTAAGAAGCATCTGACTTTGGCAAAATTAAAGTTATGAAAGGCATTATCTCTTCAAATGTTACCTTCTTTGTGAGCACTAACTCGATCAATTCACTATTCAGATCAGCAGAAAAGCACAGACACCAGATTCTGGTTAAAAAAAACATCATACCTCTATATATTTATATATTTAGATACTATAAGAAGTATGTTTTTTTTTACCAGAATCTTGTGCCTGTGCAGAAAAGACCCACTTGCTAGAGAGTGGGAAGTGCAATCTATAGGTATTGTTGATAATTTAATACCATTCAGTTTTGGTTATTGGCGTATTCTGATAAAAGTCAAAGATCTCAAAATTAAAACCTTTCTGTACTGAAAAAACATTTCATTTCTTATTATACCAAATTCGAATTGAAATGCATGAATGTATAACTACTAAGTCTATAGATTTGATGTAAATAAGCATACGAATTTCCAGACAAAAGCGTATTTGAAATATTAGACTTTGGATTGAAATCTTTTTCGGATTTTTTACTCTTAGATAACACAGACTTAATTTTACATTTGAGACTAAAAAATCCAATACTTCTTGTAACTCATTACAAAAAATTTCATCAAATCAAAGTGTATAAGCCTAAGATAAAATGTATAGAAGTCGGAAAACGAAATTTGATTGCTATGTTCAAGTATGTGTTTTGAAATCTATATAGCCGAAACCGATGATAAGCATCATCCAAATGTTCTATACAATCCTAATACCATTGGCGAGCTTGACAATTTGTGTTGTATAGAAAATTGAATGAGTCAATAAGGTTTATAAAGCCTTAAACGAAGTATCTTGTATTGGGAGAAATGAATTAATTTTCCAGTATAAAAGATCGTAAAAAGCGATCCGGGTCGGCTGATTTTTCCGAATTTATTATGCCAAAGTTTGATTAGGTTTGTCAACTCGGCTACCCTTTCGGGAGTCCATGTAGCTCAAATGATTCTCAGGCATATGTATTTATAGTATTTATGAATTTTTTTTGTGATAATGGTATTCTTTTATTTTAACAGGTTTACCTCCAGAATTATATTCAGTTTGGGAATCGTACCCATGGAGATTTGGAGAGGTTTTCTGTATCATCCGACACACTGTTATGGAAATGACATCGTATGCCTCAGTGTTGACTATTACCGCATTCACAGTAGAACGTTACGTCGCTATTTGCCGACCGTTACTGGCACATAAAATAGCCAGTTTGTCTCGAGCTGTGAAAATTATAATCGTGGTGTGGTTAGTGGCTGTTTTAGCTGCTTTACCATATGGTCTTCATACTCGTCAGTTTTATGCTATTATCAATCCCGATACCAATAAACCCATTCCAGATTCCTTAGTTTGTAATATTCCAGAAGAATGGCGAGATGTACCGATGAAGTACATTTTTCAGGTACGTCCCGTTGTTGCTTTAAAACCGTTGAAATATTTTATACATGTAGTTGGCATTGAGTACGCTGTATCTAAAACCGCACACTATCAATTATTGTTTGATGTCAATTTTGCTGATGATGCCGTCACCGACTATGAAAATGCATATTCAAAACAGTATGATATATCCCATCAACAATCTGTATACTATTCTTCGTATCTTTACTGCAGGTTCCAATCCCAAAATAAGATAGCTCTATTTCTGTTTAGTCAAGAAACTCATTTAATTATTGGTTTGTTATCTTATTTCAGGTTTCCACGTTTGTGTTTTTTCTAACTCCAGTGACAATTATTATTTGTTTGTATATACTTATCGCCCTGGCACTTAGAAAATCTTTCTTATCTCGAGGCCTTTCTGAAGAATCCCATTATGGCAGCCAAAATAAACATAAAAACAAAAACCAATCAAGTAATGTTCCTAAACAGCCGAGAAGAGTTGTAATGAGAATTTTAGGTAAGTGTGTACTTGTCTTTTTTAATTAGGCTAACCACTGGAAACTAAATTGCAAAAGAAATAGAATGTTATATAAAGGTATCCAATATATCCAATATATTTGCTTGATAAACTTTTACGATATCAGTATATTTTTCTGCGCATTTAGTTGAAAACTGAAGAAGCCAGTGAAGTAGATCATATCACAGTTATCTCCAATTACAAACTTTCGTTCTGGAATATATCTGAGCAAAAATACAGATAAATGTGGTGTTACATGGCTTATTTTCCTGCATCAATTTGCCTATAAGTCAGAGAAAAATGTGACAGTTACAGTTCTTGAAATAATCTTTTGTTATTCCAATGTAATTTTGTTGCTGAAATTAGGTTTGTAATGCATCGAGCTCTTAAAACCTCAATCGAGAAAAGTTAATCTAAAATATTATTGATATCTTGCTTCATAACACCATGGAATATTAAATAACCTTCAGTGATAGATTATTTGAATCTAAAACAGGACTAAATTATATAGATTTTTGCTCTTTGAAATCAATTTCTGCTATCTAAATTAGTCTGATTAGATCATTTTGTCAAAACGTATTCATTAAAGGTATAATACCTCTTAGGGTGAACAAAAAAAATGAAATATTTAAACTTGGTCAAACAGAGTATAATATATCTATCAGTGGACTTGCCTGGTGTCAGAAGTATACGACAAAGTCCCTCTATAATCCAATAAATCCATAAAACGGATCCAACCGATGAATATTTACTCTTATTGCCCAAGTTTGATACTTTTATTTTATGTCCATCCTAAGATGTGGCATTCCTTTAAAGTAAAATAATTTGTTTCATTTCAGTTGCTGTCGCGGTAGCATTTATCATTTGCTGGGCACCATTCCATGCTCAGAGGTTGATGGTGTTATATGTTCCTAAGTGGACAGTCGAGCTGATGGATGTTCAAAGTCATCTTTTCTATATCTCAGGTGTGTAGATCATTTCAGTTCTGCTTCAATCACATTTCTGCCCTCTCCAGCGCTGGGATTTTGTGACGCGGATATTCCTCGAAGCATAAGACTAGTTTATCAGGTTCACTGAAATTAAAATTAGAACACGCCAATTTATTGATGTTCCGAATTGACCCCATTGAATATGATTGGTTAAAGCAGAGGTCAACGCAGGTTAGGTCAAAGTTATTGGGACGAACATTCAAGAAGCCCGTCTTCAGACCCTTACTTATAAAAAACAGAACGAACGTTTAGTCTAATTTTATCTAACTTAAATCATTTGAAATTAAGGTTGATCAAATTATTGGTCTGAGATAATCTTAGAATCATATTTAAACATCTTAAGGGCAACCTAAAATTAATATCAGTGAGATACAGTTGTTTATCTTGTATGGAATAGACAGAGACATTCCACTATACGTCTTTCTCATTTACAAGTTTGTTATGAACCTCAAAATGACAATTTGATTGTAAAAAAAATTCCTAACAGTATCGTTATGACTCAAAATACCGCGCCCGTAAAAATACTTCCTTAGATAAAATCATTAACATAATTCACAAGACTCACCAAGGTATATCACAACGTTACGACGCTTTCACCTTGAAAGTGGTATACGAGTACCTGCTTGAAGGAAGAAGCATCCCGTCAGTTCTACTGTATCTTCATAATGGTCGAGGTATTACGTCTTCATCTCATACATTGATTGCTATGGACAATTTTCTTGCAACTTCCGGAGAAATTTGCGAATACAGCCAATCTGAACCCGCAATAGAAAGACTTTCCAAGGCTCTGATTGGCAATATTCGCTGGCGTAAAATCTAAACAAATCGCTTACCATGAAACTGTCAAGTGGGCCATTATAGTCTTAAATAAGATAAAGACGCAATTCCATGACCATGACCATAGTGGATGGTTCTGCTGATAAACACCTATTATTGCCCGCGTAATGGTTATTCATATTCACAGTGATATCTGGTCAGTGCAGTAACTTATCGTTAGTTCCGGCTTTTAGCTTTGCTATCAGTATTGACTTATCTGACCATTATTCCGTTCTTCCTATTAACGCCATTTACGAACAAAACATATGAAAATGTGTTACATTCCATTTACGGAGATATTACAAATACTTTACAAAAGACATTGCGAGAAGAGCTGTATAGTTTACAAATACATGTAATTCCCACAACGCGAAATATATAAGAAAGATTCTCTTTTCCGGAGAATTTCCATTTCAGTACAATCACCAGAACTATGATGAATTGTGCGTAATAATAGTACGTCTACTGTCGTATTAACATAAAGTATCATGTTGTATAATATTACAGGAAAGAAAGATTGTCCGGAGAATAGCACTTGAAATAAATCATCTGTTCATTATGATGAATGATGTTTAATATTAGAATTTCAACTGCATAACAATATTCTTGGGTGGCCTCTTGAGTTCATGTCATAGTGCATTAAGACAAACGACATTTCAAGGAGAATATAAATACAATCGCTACTATTTTCCATAATGATAAACGTAAAACTCCATTCATTTCATTTTATGTGTATTTCCATAATGATAAGACTGACCGAATACCAGTTTGTTAATTGCACCTATTGAGTTCCCGATATACTTCTTCGTCGGTTGAATTTCAGTAATAAACGCTAGGTTACATAATGAATTTTACGAACTAAGCTGATATTGTAGTGTACAAAATCGTGTCATTACATGCTATGTTTAAAGGTAGTTCATTTTTTGAAAAACGAATAAACAATATAATCTAACTACCTTATAATCGCCAGTTTCTTGTTTCTACAAAGTTCACAATGTTCTTGAGAAACAGCGGCGAGGGCAATAGAACGGAAGATCGATTAAAAAGCCTTTGAAATTTAGTCAGTTGCCCTACAGACATAACAGTTCCATTTTTATAATCAGATTAGAGTTTAGCTCATTCTCATGACTTACACAATTGATGACTTGATCAGAAAATTCTACAGCTCGTCTATTTCCTTCTCTTAAATTGCCACCCTTTTTTCTAAACTAATAGAGGAAATTAATGGCACTATACTCGATCATGACAGAAAAACAAAGACATCATTTTTTACTTGGCTATCAATCAGAATATGTCAGTAAAATAGACATAAGTTATTATCTGAAGTATTCAGTAAAGACGATTAATTGATGAAAGGTAGCTTAAGAAGTACTTCAGTCATTACTATGGTAATTAGAGATGTGATATTTATTAGATTGTACTCATAGACCTGTGGTGGAATGAAGTTAACCTTTTCTTAAATTGATCATGAAATGAATGTTTGTATTATTGTTGTGGCTAAACTTAGCAACTATGATAAAATTATCCATGCAGATACACGTCAATACATATTTTAAGATATTATGTATTAACAAAACTTGACCGTTTTTCTTTAAGGGGATTGTAAAGAGGTTTTCTTAATTCTTTATGTACATCGTCGCTAATAGTGTGATAAAGCATATTTTGCGATTAGTGACGTCATCAAACACTTAGTTTAAATAGAATTGCAGGAACCACAGACGTCCAATTGAAATTGAAATGGTGCAAATTGACACTATCAGTGTCCAAGAGACACATGAAAATTTTTAGAATACCTTTCTACTATACGTTTAAGACGATAACTAGTTTTGGTAATAATTACTTCTATCCGCCATGTAATTAGGTACTAATATTCATGCCCATGTTCGAATTCTTGAAAAGTTTAGTCTCTTTATATGAAGTAAAAGTATCAGGTTTAATAAAGGACAAGAAGTGGTAAATTAAAGTCTGACCAAGAGAAAGAAACTGTGGTTTCTAACGACAGCAAAACTCGGGGGAGTAGGCAAAATTGATTAATCTATTCATGTCCGTGTTCAGTAAAATAGACAAAATGATTATGGCGAGAAAAGGCTAATTTACTGATTTATTTTGGTTGACATTGATAGTCTGGTGCTGTAACTGGGTTGAGATCTTCTAAGCGAAAATACATTCTATAATTGGAAAGCAAAAGCATTTGAAATGTTGATGTATTGTGAAATATAAAGTCATAACCATATTCTTTCTTTGATCTTTTATTTACATACCGGTCTTCCATTTCATTGACTTCAGTCATAAAACATTTCCGTTAGAAAACGATATCGATGTAGTGATTTTGATTTCCTTTGAAAATTCAATTCCAAAGACCTTGCATGACAAGAGTGTTCGAAGTCATCGTGTAATCACATTAAGTGAATCGTATAACTTCATTAAACACTACCACTGTGTAGATTGGCAGTTCAATCATTCTTTGCCCAATTGAAACACTTTTTAGCTCATAAAACATAGGAAACATTCGAGGTCAAAGCGAGCTGTTGCACTCAAACAGGAGTAACGCTCAATCATAGAGGCGTAAATAAATTACATACAGTTGTTGCACGGGATACGACCTTTTAAATCATTTTTATTTGCTGTTAGCAAATTGTTTAGACATAATAGCTGCTTATGGTTCGTCATTCCAATGTCTCTTTGACAACACTAAGCACATTTCTTGTATATTTGATGGGATAAATATAATGTCACTTTTCTATAGCAAAACATAAATTAACAACGCAGACTAGAACTTGTTGTTCACACGCTAAGACATATTGTTTTCTGTCTTTCTGTACCCTGATAGGTTGTATTCGCAAGCGTACAAACCAATCAAAACACGAACTTCCGCGATACGAGAAAAGTGACTTGACGAACTCATAATACCTTAATTAACATTGTTAAGAATTATGTGCTAAAAATGTGCATTATACATCTACTGTATTCCACGGCCCGCCTTTCTCTTTCTCGGGCCTTTCTAATTCGGTAAAAGCTCGTCCTCGTCATTATACTATACTTAAATTATTTTCTGTGTATTTCAGGTGTGCTGTATTTCATCAGTTCTACAGTTAATCCAATATTGTATAATGTGATCTCGAAACGCTATAGATTGGCCTTTAAAGAGACCCTTTGTTGTTGTCTGAATAAATCCGCACAACAAACGAAAGATCGGAAGATAACTTCAGAAATATCTCATAAACTTCAGAATGGTAATCATGTGTCTTTTAGTAGAGCTCATACGAAACATACAGATTCCAACTATCAACGTGTTCATTTGTTGGATTCGCCTGCAAGTCCTAATTTAAGGAAACCGATATTAAAGAATGGTCCTTCAATTGATAGTCAAACATGTGATACACCTTTAATGACTCCCAAAACACCACTGACTGCAGATAGTACTGTAAGCAATATTATGTATAGATATGGTGAGGCCGAATTAAACGGTCACATTGGCAATCAAGTGGTCAACAGTGGCAGTGCTACGCCTGTATAGTATAATGAAAGATGAATATACATTGTATAGTAGAAATGTATATTATATAGTAAAAATGTATCATTAATCAGTAATGATACATCGAAGTAAAAGAACATAATCAAAGGGAGTCAACATAGAATATTTTATTTCATTGTGATATAGACATGATTGTGTATAGTGATGCTGATAGTTTTGGCAAAAATTCTTTCTTGGATAATTTTTGGTGTTGTTCATTCCTACTTAATGGCTACCACTCCGTTGATGATATATTAACTTAAACAATGGGAATATATTTTAAAGTCAAACCTGAAAGTATTTTCAATTTGAGCCTTGTCGAAAATATGTATTTGGATTTATATTAAAGATCTACACAATATTATGTATTCGTCATATCGTCTATCAGATATATATTTCCAATTAAACAGTTAAACAGTACCAATGGTACAAGTGAGGGAGAAAGAACATGATATCCAATCTTAAAGGGACAGAGGCAGCATATCCGGGGGTTGATTTGGACCTTTAATATATATAAATACTCTTCAGAACTACTAAAACTGCACGAAAATCTAATAATTCCTTCAAATAGACCCAAAACAAAGGTCGGCATTTTTTTGACCAATCATACTGTGTCTTTATTCTCATAAACTTGTTTTTCCTTTGCTTAGCTAGTAATAGCGTTCACAGCTCACAGTCGAAATTTGAGCCTTCAAATACACGTGTATCTAGAATTATCCACGTTTGAAAGGCCGTCTTTTTAGACATTGCCATATATACATAGAAAAGACATCTATAAAAATAGGAATATTTTTTAAGGAATCGTGCGACTTCTGAAAACTATTCTATATCACGTCGAGGAACAAGTTGGGCCATTTGTCGGGATTGCAAAGGGGCAAATATCTCAATCTAAGAAACCAGCCAGTTCGGCTTGAAGTTAAGCCAATGACACTAACGAATACAATGGACACAACTCTCTCCTTGTGAGATTATTTGTTATTTTGAAGTCATTTTCAGTTATTGCATGAAATATCAAAAGAAATCGACCTATCCATAGCTCACTAAAATATCCCCCTTTTTCACAAAAAGGTTTATTGATCTGGCGAATGTTGTTATTTGTTCCTTTGGTATAATATGCTTTGGTGTACATACATGTATTTGATAACCAATTTCATGAAATACCATTATACTATATCATATCGATGTATAGTATTTAAGATCAAAACATTCTACAGAGTTAAATCAAGGAGAACGTGGTTTTATGGAGCTGATTTTTTCATAAACGTTGTTTTCAAAGATCTTTACTGATAGTATAATATTCACAAACCGTTAAGTGATTTTTCCAGGAGAACAATGTTGAAAGATAGGTTGATAACACATTAATCATTACGTAAATCATTAGTCAGAATACTTTAATACTGGTGAAATATGACAGTGTTCATAGCAACATAAAAACAAAAATCACGTTCAACAATTAAACAAGCGATAACTTAATTATGAATAAATAGTCGTAACTAAAACCTTTATAGTTCAATAATGTTTTTCTGAATATCAGTGTAGTAGACGACAGCCACGCGGTATCTGTGATGAACTGTCTATCACATCCATACGCCAATGTGGACATGCCAATTCAAGGGAAATAACTAAAAAAATAGTATGAATATGGAACTCGTTTCATCAAGAAAATATGATAACGACTGGTAGCTCGAAAGGCTTTATACCCACAAATCAGTTAATTCCATGCTAGCTTTAATATTTTCAAAATGCGACTCTCAAATTATTTAACCATCGCCACATAGGCTTAGACATTGTCAATAAAGCAAAGTTGTGTCAAAATCAGAATGTATGTGACTGGCGGGCGGATGGACGGACTAATAGACATGTGTGAAGACAATATAATGGCCACATTTCTTACGGGGATACTGCTCCGAAATAATCAAACGAACATCTTCTATTTTTTTTATGAAACGACAGCCTAAACAAATAACTTCCTACAACATCCGGAAGACAATTCTTATGCACACTGTATAGATTTTGTGTAATAGAGTTCTGTTAAATCCTTGCCGACTAATATCAATATTGCTTTACTACAACATAGTTACAATTTTTAAATTTTGAGAAAAGGACATGACATTCAAAGAAGTAAATTAATAGGAGCGTGAAATATTAGACAAATATACCTTTAGTATTTTATAAATATATCCAATTTAAATTGAACAAGATAACCCCCCTCCCCTGTCAGCTATGTTTTCAAATAAGAACAGTAACTAGTGGCGACCAGAGTTGGCGGATGAGGTATAGAAGTAGCATTTGGACCTCTGGGAAAATAGTTCGCAACCACTATTACACCTCCATTTAGAGCTATTTGTCAAAATGGACCAAATTATATTCACTTTTCAAAGGTTGTGGGAGATAGACCTTCCATGAAGATGTTGGAATTTCATGTGGGCGTTTAATAAAATGATATGATGTGGCCAATTGAAAGGATTAAATCAAGATCGACTACGACAGTTCCCAGATCTGTTTCGATCTCGATTTGACCGATCTCTTGAATTTCGCCACCTTGGTTCATCTTTATGTCTTAACCGTTCATTGTCTCTATCACGATCTCTGGGAGAGTCTGTAAGCGGTTTCCTCATAGGTTTGGAATCAGATTTGTGGTCACTTTTAATATTATCATTATCATAAAGTCTACGCCGCCCATTAGAGCGCGGGAGTCTTGGTGAAGGTGAGCGTCTTTTTTTTCTTTTATTGTTAGCATCAGACGCACGTCTTTCAGTTCTATCACGTACGCCCAATCTATCGTGTAAAGTATTAGTACGTATTCTAGGCGAAGATCTCGTTTTAACTGAGCACATTTGTTTTTTCTTTGGAGTCACTAATCTTTTAGATGGTTTTTCTGAAAGAGAGTTTTCAGCGTCCGAACATTTAAATAACTCATCATTTTCATCCACCTTTGTATCAATAACAAAATAAACAGAATCGGTATTGACGGATAACTGTTTCTGATTGTCATTAACAATTAAACTATCTTGGGTAATTTCTCCGTCTTCTTTCTCGGAAATAGGTTCTGGAGTATCCTCAACGGTGTCGTTTTCTACTGATTGGAAGATTTTAAAGTCTTCTATATTAGGACTCCTCTTCACTTCCTGCGGTAATTGTATCTCTGCTGGTGGTTGATCTGAGTGTGTTTTCAATCCATCTGTGATTATTGACTTTTCTATTTCAAATTCGGGACTGGTAGGTGTGTCAGAGCTGGCCATGGGAATGGGACTTTCGGTCAACGATGCCTTTGAGGTGTCACGCTTTTCTATGGAAGGACTGTTAACTGGTGTCAGAAAAGAGCTGTTGGATTCGTTATTTTTCAGGCGGTTATCAAATTTCACCATATTTGAGTCAATAACGTCATTACTTTTTAACTCGGGTAGACAGGTTTTAAAAGATTTTCCGTGTGACCTAGTTTTCCTAAAACATGGTGTGGATGACAAGACCTCTGGCGAAGCATTACTGTTGTTCTCATTCTTGGATGATAGCGCCTTATTTTCAAAAGGAACATCATGACCAGACAAATGGAGATCAAGAGTGGCCAAATTGACAAGTGCTAATAACTTACTATCACAGTTTACATTTTCTGGGGAAACAAACTTCGGAACAGGACTTATTCTGTTCCAAGGGGAACGTATGTCTTGTTTCATTGGCGTTTTCATATTTTTTACCACGTGGTTTGGCGTTTGAACATTTTGAGGTAGAATGTTTGAATGATGTTTACTGGCATCTTCTGAATCAGATGACATATCTAAATCTGTTTTTAACACTTCTGTAGCATTTTGATTTATGTCCATGTTATTGTCATAGTGAAGATCAGTCTCTATGTCCATATCATCTTCAGAAGATTCTGACAAGGTTTCGTCAGTATCCGAAATATTACATGAAACCAGAGTCTCGTGTTTAGTAAAAGAGTTACGGACATTGTTTGTGTTATAGCTAGATGACACAGAGGAATCGGTGGAATGAACTGAAAAGCTGGAGTTATTGGAGCTATTTGAGTCCTCGGTAGTGTTCATTGATACTTTGGTCATATTTTTGCTATTACAGGTTTGTAAAGCACTATGTACAGAGGAACTGTCGGCATCTCCTCGTATTGGAACAGTTTTTGATACACTTTTACCTATATTGGAGGTTTTTACTGGACTAAGTGGACTCAGTGGGCAGTCAACATCCTTTGAAACATTCTCAGAAGATTTATTTGTTGATTGAGATTTGTCAGGTCTATTATCAGATTGATTGCCTACAACATTCCCAGATTCACTGAAAGTGCTCTTAGATTCATTTACTAGGGCTCGGGATATGTCTGTTGCAACATCACTTGATGATGGAATGATTATTGGATTGTCATTTGTACCTGCTTCCAATATTTGTTGACCGTCAGACTCCTGGCTTGTGAATACGTTTTCAGTTTTAAATATTACTTTAGATTGAAGTGATTGTATGGCTGCTGACTTCATCATCTGGATTTCTTCTTCCATCTTTTTCAGTCTCTTGAGGAACTCTGTTTCATTACTGGAGCCAGCGAGGTTGGTCATGAACATACCTGAAAAGGCATTTAGTCCTGAAGATGTGGGTGGAGCTGGTTCAGAATTAGGTTCTGATTTTACTTCAATGGCTTCTGTTGACTGGAATTGGTTTGAAATTCCACTGCTCTCATTTGGTTTTGTTACTGATTCAAGAGTAGTCAATTCAATAGAATGTGATTCATCTTTGACAACTGAAGTATCAACTAATGGTAGATGTGATCTTGGTGATGGTAGTGAGTCAGTTTCAACAGTATCAGATTTTCTCTCAGAATGCTCTAATTCTTTATTGGTTATATTCTCAGTAACAAACTCATGTCTCAAATCATTACTAATGGCAGATTTTTCTTTTGATTTTGCTGATTTTTGTGTCAATGGCTTTGTCTTACTTACACTTTTTTCACCCTTATTACTTTTTAATGATGAAAGTTTCTTTGTTGACGTTTTCTTGGTGGTCTTTTTCATATCAGTACTGGTACATTGCATTTCTCTGTCTTCATTCTTGCTAATGATTGTTTTTTGTTGTTTGGTGTCTTTAGAAGCTATATCAGATCTAGATGTCTTCACTGCAGTTTCTCTTTCTTGCCTTTTGTGAGGTAAATCTAATCTTATTTTCACCCCATCATTGTCTGTTATGTCAGCCATGGTTCCTGACTCTTTTTCACTATCTTTACTTTTAGAACTTGTTTTCTTCTTGTGATCTTTGTGTGTTTCTCCAAATGATGCTGATTTATTGACTTTTTTATTTCGATCCTTTAACATTAAGTCTATAGCAGCTGCTTCATTCACCCTAGTATAAGGAACCAATTTCGGAGTTTTGGGAGCAATATTCGTATCAGAGATATTGTCTCTAGTAATCTTTGTTCTGGGATCAGATAACGGCACATCTTGAATACCAAAAACTCTGGTTTGTTCCTGATACTTACAGGAAAGTAGATTTTTGTCTGAAAATGTTAATTGTTGGGGAATTTTCCATGTAAAATATGATATTGTGTTATGTTTAGGTTCTTCATAATTGTTTTCAACTGGGGATCTATGAGTAACATTTTGAGTTTGTACATTCAAAGCTACAGACTTGCTCAGATCCAAAATTCTGTTAACAACAGATTGAGTTTGTACTAAATTCAGGTCACTGTCTGTCAAAATATTTGACACTGAGTCTGGTGCCACATTCTCAGATACATTAGGACTTCTATTAGCACTCTTCTGAGACTCAGAATCTAAAAGATTTTTGTTTTCACACTTTTTCTTTTTGGGCACAGATTTAGGAGGTGACATCAGTTCTCTTTCATTTGGGTCTTTCACATGTTTTAAAACACAAGGCTCCATGTCATTCACTTTCTGAACTCTATTGGTTGATGTTTCAAGAGTTTCATTTGGGTCACTATCACTGAGCATATCCACACAGTATTGCAGTTTGGATGCAAAATCTGAATCACTTTCAGTAGATGTTTGTTTCTTTTTACTTTGAAATGTTTTGGGAACCTTTTCTGTATTTCCGTTTAGATCGTGATTCAGATTTACCATTTCTGATTGAGATACCTTGCACTTAGCATTGATTGCTTTTGCATTTACTCGAGAATTATAGGGCGAAATTTTGAGCTCAGAGGCAGAATTCAAATCCACGATAAGTTTCTCTGTTTCATCACTACTTTCAGCTGACAAACTACTGTCAAGAACTTTATTATCAATATCACCTTCAATGGACGACCTCCTTTTCGACATTTTGGGAATGACAAATTTAGAATGGTTTTCATTGGCCTTGTTTGACAACTTATTCACAACATCCATAATACTACATTTTGAAGTCTGCTTCAGTGAGGTAGATTTTTGCAATTTCATTTCCTTCTCTGATAATGTTGCATTTCCATCACTGTCAACTGCTTTGTATGGTACCGGTAAGCTTGTCACACCTGTATCAGACTTAGATACCCTATCATTAATTTGATTTTCACAAGATTTGAGATTATTTTCACCATTAGTAATAACAATCTTATTTGAATTTGAAGCACTTTTGGAGACAATATTTTGTCTTTGGCAACCGTCTCTCCCAGAAAGTTTACGGCGTCGAAGTTTATCACGTAAATCGAAAGTTTCAACTTTATTTGTCGTATCACATGGTTGAGGTAACATCACACAATTTAGTTTTTGGACTATGGCTGCCCATCAGTTTAACAGTTTTAGACTCTATTTCACTATCATTCTTAGTTACAATATCTTCACTTCTTCGTGTAGTTCTACAGCGCTTAGAGTCTTTCTTATCATCAGTTACTTCATTTTTGCGCTTTCTACTATTAATAGCTGGGCTGACATTCATGCTATTTTCACTTTTCCTTGAAGAGTAACTCTGATTTTTGTCAGGATATTTGTTGAATTTACCATTATAGAATAGCGATTTTGTATGTTCATCTATCTGGTCTCTGAAAGAAAAAAGTAAAAAGTGGCTTTTACTGATTAGTCACTGATAATGATCTTGTACAAAACTTCTAAACGCTCAGTTTTATAATGTTTTTTTTTTTTTTTTGCAAAATCAGATGCAAGAACTTCGTATTATTCTTATCTTTCATTGAAACATTTCTATTAAGTTTTTTTCATATTCAAGTAATAACTCTATCATAAGGGCTGGGCGATATACCAGTATCACATTAAAAATAATTAAATTATATTATTAGTTATATTGTCTGATTGAAAAATACATAAATATTGCGATATTGTGATACTGTCAACATTAATTCCACTGTACCCGTTAACAAATACCATAGTAATCACTTCCACATAGGTTCCCATCAGCACATAACTTATCCACAATAAAGTATAGTAACCCATCAAAGCAAGAATATACTTCCAAAAATATACTTTAAACAATGCGGAGGCGAATTTGACCTCATGCAGAGGCGACTGGGGTCAAACGCAGAGGCGACTTAGGTCAAATGCAGAGGCAAAATTGACCAAATATGGGAGCAAAATTGACCTTAAGTGAAAGGTTAGAGGTCAATTGCAGTGGCCGTGTTAGCCTAGAGTGACCAAACACACTTACAAGTTTTTTTTCAATAATTACTTAGTTTAATGGTTATATCCTCTTATAGGTATTTAGACATGGTACCTGGTAAATCTAACTGATGAATATACTCTTATAGACCAAGTTTGAGACTTTAAATTTCATGTCCATTCTAAGAGGTAGTATTCCTTTCACTCAGTCCTAGTCCGAGCTGATTAAATACCTGTATGTTATAATCTAGCCCTATAGGAATAAAAATATAAAACTACTAACCTCAAATCACTAATAATGGAATTCTTTCTACCCAGTTCTGATTTGGCAGTTAATAACAAAGAAGAATTATTCTTTTCTAAAATTTCAATTCTCTTCTGTAATTCTGCTTCCTTTTTAGCCTTTTCTTGTAATTCTATATTCAGACTTTCTATAGTTGCCTTAGCTGTGTCTAATACTTCAGATATCTGAAAATATTAAAACAAATACAAGTACCGTAATAATATTCTGCATCTGGATGATGTCAAGTTATATGTACATGTTTTTGTTTCTTAAAAATATTAATACTTGACCACATGATACAATACACATATCTTGGCAGTTCCTATTGCTTCACCAATCTATTGTGCAACCACTACTCTTATAACTTGAGCATTTGTTGGTTAAATCACTAAAAGGGATTGTGAAGGGGTTTTATATTTTTCTTTTTGGTGATAGCAGTAATTTGCACTATTCCAATTTTCAGTCAGACATCTATGGTTCCTGCAATTCCACTAAAAGTAAGTGTTTGATGACTAATCACAAAGGGCTTTATAGGATAAAGTTGGCGCTATGTCCCTGATACACATAAATTTTTTCGAAAACCACTTTTTACAATCCTTTCAATTTGAAAATGAAATATGCCAAAAGTTATTATCCATGTGACACAAGTTAACTCGATCCAGTATATTTATGAAAGCTTGTTGAATCAAAGCATTACCTGTTGTTGGCTCTCTGTACTATCAGTTTTACTTGGTTGGTTAGAATAATCTTCTGATATCAGATCTGTGTATAAATCTAAACTATCTTCATTTATATCCATTATAATTCTAATACATGTATTGTCTAATACTGGTACTGGTAAGCTGAAATTATAGCAAATAAGTTTTACAGTGGGAATAACTGGAAATGCAGATGTACAGTAATTATTTTTATAAAGAGATATTCTTCCAAGATGGCATAAATCATTGCATTGCATTGAATTTCATCATTTGAATCATATATTGGACAGATATGTATTTACTTAGAAAATATTTTGATTACTAACATTAAACTGTACTATTTTTTTAAATGTCTTAAGGGTAGGCCTGTAAAAAGTTCCAACTTGAACACTACAAGTCTAGATCTATGCAACTTTTCAGGAAATATCAGTTAAAATAAAAGAATAAACGTTATAGATGATAGATCTATATATATCTCAGAAAACAAGACTATAAGCTTATTCTAATAACAGTTGTCAACCTGATAAAAATTCATGTAAGAAATCACTTTTCAGCTCAGCAGCGTTTCTACAGGGCTGTGTGGGGCCAAGAGCCCCCCTTTTCAAATTTCTTGTAATTGACCAAAGGGAAATATTTGCCTGTGAGCTGCCCATGGCAGGCCCCTTGTCTAATAATTCGTAGAAACATCATTGTTTCAGCTATCAAGTTTGTATGACTGAGTGACTTTCTTTGAAGTTTGATTGATTCGTGCTACTTTCACTTTTGTTTGTTTGGGGAATGTTTTTCACTAGGCTACTAAGTGAAATAGCAAGATGCTTAATTAAATACTGTGTAAATAAATAGGGGTGTACAGGATGGATCTACCTTAATCTAATTAACTTAAGAGCAAATTAGTCGATCAGGGGATAATTTTTGTCACAACTTTGTTTCTTCACCCGCCATTCTAATAACACTTAGATGCCCATGCGCCAGTGTTTCTTTACCGGAAGTTTACCATTCAACATGTCGAACTTCAGACAAACTCCACTAACGTGTAGTGGACATACACGGCCTGTTGTTCACCTTGCTTTCAGTGAAATCACACCATTTGGCTACTTTTCTATAAGTGCATGTAAAGGTTCGTATATTTACTGTTAATTTAGTAATACGATGTAAAATAAAACGTCAAATCATAAAAATTTGGTATTCAACGACGGTTTTCTCGAATATCAGGTCTTTCTTAAACATTTCCCCTTGTTGACTTCGGACTACAAATAAATAAAATTTGATATTAAGTTTGGTAAATTATAAATTCTTGGTTGACTTCATACTAGAAATTAAAAAATATAAGTTTACTTGTCATGTGGAGTGAAACTTGTAGACTTTGTTAAATATGCTGTTGTTGACACTGAACGAGTATTCCAGGTTTGCCGATTATCTGACTGAACATCGTCTGTGCCACTGTGACTGTCAGGCCCAATAATTGTTGTTACACATTTCAGATGGAAAGCCAATGTTACGCCAAGGTGATACAGGTGACTGGATTGGAACATTTGAAGGACATAAAGGAGCAGTGTGGGGTGCCACATTGAATAGGGATGCTTCCAGAGCTGCTACAGGTGCAGCAGATTTCTCAGCGTATGTATGCTTTGCCTCCTTCCCATGTTCTGCCTTAATTTTCACACTATGTAATGTAAACACATTAGCTAGTCTTCTCATTGGAAATCCATGTCATTTGCCCACTGTATTACGGTAGAAAACCTTTTTGCAATGTCTTTTGTAATTGTTGATAAACCAGTACCAAAAAGTTTATGTTTAATAATTTACTATGGATATTTTTTTAACAGGAAACTTTGGGATGCTGAAAGTGGTGAAGAATTATATACATTTCCTCATAAACATATTGTAAAAACTGTTAATTTCTCCTCCACAAGTAAACAATTACTGACAGGCTCACAGGCTAAATTATGTAAAATTTTTGATTTGGAAAAGTATGATGCAGGTAAGAAATTGATCCGCATGGTTTTGAATACTTCACAATTCAATTGAGAATTGTCTGTCAATTGGTTGGGTCAATCTGTGTTACATATGAATCACATGAAATGGATATTGATGATCTGCCTCAATGCTCAGTCACTATTTGATTAAGCTTATGGAAAGTGTTAATGATACATGCAGGTTAGCGTACATTTATTCAAAGTTGACTATGATAAAGTAATATTTACTCTGAATGGTTCCCAGATTTACATGAAAAAAAATATTTACATGTTAATTGTCGAACACAGAATGGCACTGTCCAATAGGCCACTGTCATTTTTTTTTTCATTTGATATAGTAACTTTTTGGATTTTTTATATTATGCTTAAAGTTCATTTCATCTATAATTTTAGATTTCAGTTGTGATGAAAGTAATTTATTATGGTGTTAATATATTTCAGAACCGACAGTTTTGAGTGGTCATACTGGTAATGTTAGAGCTGCTCTGTTTACACCCGATGATAAAAAGTTTATCAGTATATCTGATGATAAAACTGTCAGGTTAGTATATTCTTAACCTCCCATTGAGAGAACTTCCTTATTAGTCTGGCCGGTTGAGAAAATTGCTTCAATTTCCAACTATTATGAATCAAAGGATTTATCTTGAAGTACAATATAGCAAACAACTCTCATATTGTATCCCAAAAGACTAATAATAATAACGCAACAATTTGTAAGTAGAATTATTACAAAATGTTTCAAGAATGTTCTTAATATCATAATAAACCATATATGATTCTTACATGAAAATAACTAACATGAACAACCATTTTGAATCTCTACCATAAATTTATAGGTGAAATTTTTCGAGGTAGAGATTCAAAATGGTTTTTGATCTGTGGTTTTGTCTTATTTCCATGTAAGAACCATGCATAGTTTTGTATGGGATATTTTGACAATATATTTTAAAAATTTGACTGCAGACTAGGAAGTTATTTTGGGGTACTACAAAGTAGTATAGTACAAGTGGATGCTGCATATGAAACTGTCCTACCAACTAAGTCTTTTTCTTTTGTTTGAATAATAATTATATAAGGAACAGGGAAATCAGAGCCTATTTGTATCATATTACAGGATTTGGGATGCTCATAATCATAATGAAATTAGTAAAATAGATTTACCAGCCATACCTAGTAGTTTAGAGTTGACAAGAAATGGTAAAATATTTTTAGTAACCTATGGCTCAACTACCAGTTTCTACAATACTGATACGTAAGTTTTTATTATTGTCATGTGAAAACAAGAACTATATTTCTTTATTGGCATCTGGATTTGCCGTGGTTGGTAGCTAGTGAGACGGTTGAGTATCTTAGAGTAACCCCACATCCAAGGCTGCTTACAGTTGCAACTGGAATTGTCTAGCTGTTCTCAGATTGATTGGTTGTAGGAAAAATCTCTCACAGCTCACCATGGATACAGTTACCATTTAAAGATGTACATTACAAATATGTTAAACCTAATTATAGATTCGAGCAGATCAAAACATTTGATGCACCAACTCAGATTAATTCTTCCTCATTACATCCAACTAAAGATATATATGTTTCTGGTGGAGAAGATTTTAAGATGTATAAATTTGATTATGTATCAGGAGATGAAATTGGTAAGTTTACTAGTGTATCATAGTTATCTCAAGTGCAGAAATGGAAACCTACTATGTTCATGGCTACAAAATGTGGGTCAGAACATGTTTCAGATTCTATTGTTTCAGACTGGTTATGCACAATCAAGGAAAAGTCTAAAGAAATTTTAAGAATTAATGAATAAATTCAATCGTTATTTGTGTCTGTTCTTATTAATGGTACCCTAAAATAACATTTATGTCTCTTGGTGGGCATAAATATTTTTGGAATGATAAATGAGAATAAATTGTTAAGATTTCAAATTAAGACTTGACCCCAATGTTTAATCTGTACTTTCAGAATCATTTAAAGGTCATTTTGGACCTGTACACTGTGTACGTTTCTCTCCTGATGGTGAAATTTATGCTAGTGGAAGTGAAGATGGTACATTGAGATTATGGCAAACAAACGTAGGCCAGACGTATGGATTATGGAAATGTGTAATGCCAGATGAAGTAACAAATAATAGTGATTCTAGTCCAGTAATAAAAGCTGAAACATAAAATAAGACTGGGTACAAATGATACCAAGATAACTTTCGTAATTTCGGGATAGAATTTTTCTGTAACATTTGAAATTGGTGTTGGTGTAGTTATCATAACAGAAAGCTTTTTCTGACTTGATAACTAAATTCATATCATTGATGCTTATTTATTGTCACAGCCCATTATATTGTTTTAATTCGCAGGCGAGTTGTAATTGAAGAATCATGTATTGAAATGGTTATCTATGGAACCAACAATAATGCATGTAAACGCCGATATTTTGACTCTTGATGGAAATATATTCATTATCATCCATTTTTGTTGTCTTGAAGGAATTACACTACCTGCTTGATAATTGGATGTAAACTGATATTGTTAATAAACATTTTATTGATGTGATATGCTTGATATCTCTTTAATAAACATGAGACTTGAGGTCACAAGATTAATATATTAGTTTTAATTATCTAAAACACCCTACTGTTGGTTACTGAATCATCTAATGATGGCAGGCTGATCATCTATACCTTTGGAATTCTCAACCCCAGGTTCCAGCCCTGTCAGTGATGCAGCCCTCACCTGTCATATTAGCCAATACAAATGTAGAAAAGTAGGACTGAAATCATTCCATTTTCTCTTTCTTTGTAAATTAAAACCCTTGATAATTCATCATCTTATATTAATAAATGTGAGCTTTATTCGTTTAGTGGCAATACAATTTTATATACATCCTTATCCAATTATTTTATCAGATGACAGAAATATCACCATGATTTTCTGCAGTATTTCTGCAGTTGCCAAGAAGATGTTCAATTTGTTTGCTTTGTTAAACTAAACCAAACCATAATAAATTAATAATATTTAATATAAGAATTGAAAAACAGTCACTTTAAGTCAAAGTGAACATAATTCATTCTTGAAATATACAAATCAGAAATCTCTAAATCTTGTCACCATGAAATTATTCAGCTGGTTCAAATGTGTAATGTTTAATAGTAGGTACATTATTGGGATCACCACCCCTCTCCAGATGTAGATTACCATAAGGATATTGTTTAGCCATCTGTAAATAGAGCATAGGTAATTAGGTATGAATGCCAATTATGTAGTCTGCAGAAGTATTGAGACTGTTCGAAAATTGCACAATTTCATCAAATATACACCATACAAGAAAATTTCACTTTTTATTTATTACATTCACAAGCTTATCTTATCTCTGAAAATTGGGGTATATTTAGTCTCTGACACCCAGACATCTTTCATAGCAGTTCTGCATAGACAAAGTGGGACTGGATGATTGAATCTACCGTGTAGCCTAGCCTTGATGTAAATTCTTCAAAATGGATGCTTGTGAAAATTTTTTTAACTGTCAACAGTATGGATGATTATGGATACACATGGCTCAGAAGGCTGAAATTTTGATGACTAGCTTAGCTAAATAATTCCCATTTCTGATATCAAAATACTCTTGACATCCGAATATGGTCAACCATGGGCTTTCAATTATTGTGATGTATGATGTTTGACAATTAATTTGTGAGCCACAAACGATATATCATGACAAAAAAAACGAAACGACCCAATTTCACAGTTTTATGGACAGTGTGTTTCTAGGATACTGAATAAACAAAAAATTATGCAAATTAATTCATTGGCCCTACTTATCAGTTTGTGAACTATGCCTCCAAATTAAGTCCTGCCAAGTACTTCAAACACTCAAAAAAAAAACAAAAGCAAAGAAATTATAAATACTAACCATCGGTGTATATGTGGGATTAACTGGTAGATATATACGGAGTAGTGAAACAATTGCTATAAATGAGAATAACACAAAAAACTGTTGATTCCTGAAATGAAATAATAATTAAGTAGAAGTAATGACAACTCACTACTGCTTTTAAATCAAAATTAGGCTATTTGAAAATCAATTTTAAAACAGTTTTGATAGTCTTAGAATGACATTGTGTTGATCTAATTTTTTAATAGTGAAAAGAAACAAGGATTTTTGAAAATTGTCTTTCATGTTTATATGGCCTTTTTTGCTTACCATTTGCTATCTGGCCTTAATTGTTAACCATATGCTATCTGGACTTCATTGAATGCTATATTTTATCTGGCCTTGCTTTCTATTCATATGATATCTGGCATGGCTTGCTAACAGCATGCAATCTGGCACTGTGTGCTAACCATGTTATATCAAGCCATGATTGCCAACAGTAAGCTATCTGGCCTGGTTTGCTAAAAGTAAACTGTCTGGCCTGGTTTTCTAAAAGTAAGCTATCTGGACTGGTTTGCTAACCGTATTCCATCTGGATTTGTTTGCTAACCGTATTCCATCTGGACTTATTTGCTAACCGTATTCCATCTGGATTTGTTTTCTAACCACAGGTTATCTGTTTTGTTAACACTATGCTACGAGGAATGTTTTCTGATCATATGCTATCTGATAACTGTCCAAAATAAATATCACAGGCTAGGTACAGCTTAAATATGCAAATTATGGCATTAAAACCAGTTAAATAACTTACAGAGATATTACAGGTTTCTGTGATTCATCATATCTATGACCTTTAAAATATTCTTCTTCTGCATTTCTCTAAAATAAGAAAAAGTATTAAACTTAGTGGCTTGTTAGAAAAAACTGATCATAAGAAAACACAGCAAGCATTGGTGAAAGCAATGATACTGTATTTTAACAAAATGCTACTGTAAAAGCATTATGCGCACCAACTCTGCCGTATTGATATCTGCTATTGATGCTAATATTGACACCATATATATGGACAATTTTAGATAATAACTGAATAATAACCCTAGTGATGTATTGTCGATACGTTTGCTGTAGCTACATATACGTTCACAAATTGGACAAATTTGGATGACGTTTAAATACTTATATGTATATTAATACAAGACCACACAATACAGTAAATCTATCTGGACATGTGGTATCGTGATTATCGATTCACCAATATAATTATAATGCCAGCACTTGTTTCTTTATCACAAAAGGGTAGCCAAAATTGCATATTAACAACTTGTGGTTTTGAAAAAAATCTAAAAAATAATTCAATTCTTACCGCTTCATTGTAATTACGTCTTACATAAGGATAATCCCATTCATAATAAGGATCTCTAGCAGCAAAACTTTTTGGTTCTAAATCTGGATAATCACCAGCACCAAATCCCTCATCTGCAATAGGCTTGTAGTCATCAATATGTAAACCATATTTCTTAGCAGCAGCAATTCTCTCTTCAGGGGTTGTTGGGTATTTACGAGGTTTGTAGGCATATTTAGTTGGTGCTGAAAAATATTGAATTTATAGGGTTTGAAAGTAAATTCTTTCTAGTACAGGTAATTGAAATAGAGATATTTAAGCACAAATACTGGATAATATTGAACTCAAAGTCTTCAGATTTTCAAAATATCATGCATTGTTTTATGCTTTCATTGTCCCATTTGAATTTCATGAGAAATCTATGTAGTTATCCTATATGGTAATAGTAAGACTAAGAGAGAATTTATTCAGATTGACTCGGCCTACTTTGTGTTGTGAAAAAGTTTTGTCATCTTTTTTTGTAATTTTAAGCTACATTTCATAAACAAACTCCAAACAAAAGAAGGAAAAGATGCCCTTAATACTTTACAACCCTTCTCTCCAGCAATGTTCACAAAGACCAGCGAACAGCATGCCATTTGCCTAAGAGTGTTTTAAAGTCCAAAGATGACTTACAATTCGAAATCTTCCTTCCCAGAAATGACATTGTCAGTTTAGTCTGAAGCGTATGCCCCTATTCCAGCATCTGATAGCTGTAGTGAAAGTTGTTGACCTTAATAGGGTCAGAAATGCAATACTTTATGGTATGGTTTTATGGTGTATGGGGATTTTCCTCAACTCTGCAGGTTTTTTAAGACAGTTTTATTTACTTCTAATCCAGCAAACTCTGATGCTGGGGCATTGACTGCCTCTTTAATTTTGTTAGTATCATGTGACCCTTGATCCCCCGATGTGCACCCATGCTTTACTAGAACTGCAGACATGACATAAATAGTGTAGTGGGATAATGATATCTGAATTACAAAAATATCCATCTTGCCAAGGCCAAGGGCTAGATGGTTTAGTGGTAGGGCCTGGGCTACCTTTGTTTGGCTTCAGCCTATATAGATTTAATCATATTTCCACATAATAATTTAGTCTTTGGTTGGCATTTTCATCAACCCAACCAAAGACAGTTCTCAATAATATTTGGAAGTTAATATTGTGATTCATACAAAAGTGATTTGCAAAAAGCGATCCTGTAAACATTTTGTTTGTGGTCGCACAGTGCCAATACTAGGGGCAGTGTCCAGTACCAGTAGTATGATGATGAGTGATGGAAGGCTTGCCTGGTACAGATTATGGAGTGGCTTTATGAATTACCTACCTTTGAGATTTACAGCGGTGGTACAAATAACCCTGCTTGTCACTTGAGATTTGAAGCGACACACTGGTTGCTTCAAACAAACCCTCAAGGTCGCCATCTTGAAGAAAACCCAAGCGTCGAATGACCAGATTTATTTTTAATTATGTTTAAACTAGCTTTGACAATCGAGACAAAATATAGTCCTTTTCTGTTTTTTTTTTCACGAGAAAAAGTTTCAAGGGAAGTAAGTAGGTTTTCCACGAATACTTCAAACAACAGCGAAAGGTTATAAAAATTCCATTTCACCTTGTGTCATCAAAAACCCATAATACCATGATAATATAATACGTTGTGTCAAAGTCACAAATAAAAAGTCATATGCAAATCAGACTATTATACGTCAAAATAATTTCTAAAGACTTTTCAAGGCCAGAGCATTTGGGTAAAATCCAACCATACGTTGATAGATCTGTTGACATTGATAAGATATTAAGATAAGATAAAAAAAGGTACCGGTATGAGATAAGCCAAAAGCTGAAAAAATAACATAAGACACTTGGAGACGTAGTAGAATGGATCTCGTAGTTTTAGTTTGTCTTATAGGTTGTATTGCCCTTGTTACAGGTCAGGGGCAGACCTTTCCCTTCCAAAATACCTCCCTGTCATGGCAAGCTAGAGTAGATGACATTGTCGGTAGGTTAACACTAGACGAGCTTATGTACCAGATGGCAAAAGGAGGGAGGGATTCCAATGGCCCAGCGCCAGCCATTCCAAGACTTGGTGTTGGACCATATCAGTGGGATACAGAATGTCTTCATGGTGATGGCGAAGCTGGACAAGCCACAGCTTTTCCTCAAGCTATTGGTCTGGCAGCTACATTTAGGTCAGTATAAGAAATTAGTTTTTTGAACTACAACTTTAGTTTTCTTAAGATATACTGAACATACATCATTAGTACAATCCTCGTGATCTCGGAGAAGTTGAGTTAAATAATTGTTGATATTTGCAATGGGGCGACTATTGGTATCCAAGATTGCTATAATAGCCTACATTCAAAGGGACGAAGTCGTACAAAATATTTGCTCGTTTTCCGAACAGCCATCACTTTTCAGAATAAAAATCCCTCGTCCAATTAACACACAATTTACTCCGATTGTATTTGGAAACTTCAGAGTATCTTCACATTAAGGTCATTATTAAATTGTACAGTCATTACCGATGAAGTCATATTGGTCTTACGGTGAATACCCAGAGACTAGGCCTACAACTTTCTCTACGACTCTAATCCTTGATTTCTAGTCATTCAATGCTGTTTGATGTGTCAGAAGCAATATCTAAAGAAGTTCGAGCTAAACATTCAGATTATGTTAAAAATAATCAGTTTGGTACACATAAAGGACTGAGTTGTTTTACACCTGTGATAAACATCATGAGGGATCCATTATGGGGTAGAAATCAGGTTGGTAATTTTATATGTGCATACTGAACGTCACTCTTCAGAATGAGCATCTGGGTTATAATGCAACAGCAGTTTCAATCGTCTTTGGTTATAATCCCGAGAACTTTCCGCTAATGTACAAAGTTAAGAGCAGAATCTAAGACATATTTCGAAGCATTGTCTTCAAATTCCTATAACCAAGAAACAAGAAGGAATACACGTACATAAATATTGTTTAGCAAAAGATAACAAGTAGCAATACAGTAGGCCTATTATCTAACATGAAGCCATCAAACCTATTAAAGCACATATTGTAAACGTCTCACCCGATAAACACAAAAAAAATCCATATATACATGTATTTATAAGGAAACCTACGGAGAAGATCCATACCTGGCTGGTCAACTATCTGCTAGTTTTGTGAAAGGTTTACAAGGCAACCATCCTAGATATGTTAGAGCTAATGCTGGATGTAAACATTTTGATGCTCATGGTGGTCCAGAAAATTACCCGGTTTCCAGATTTTCTTTTGATGCTAAGGTACACAATAAATTTTCTATGAAACTATCTTAACTGCACAGATGAAAATCCAAAAAATGATTATTTTGGTCTTAAACGGATTGTAAGGGGGATTTTCTCATTTGTATCGGGGAAACTGATAGGATCAATTTGCGCCGTTCTAATTTTCAATCAGACGGATGGGTTCCTGCAATTCCACTAAAACTAAGGGTTTGATAACACCAATAATCGCGAAATATAATTAATCACATTCATCAAACACTTAGTTTACTGGAATTGCATGAACCACAGATGTTATTGACAATTGGAATGGTCCAAATTGATTTGATGCTATCAGTGTCCCCGTTGAAGAATGCTACTGTTAAACTCCCAGAAGTTTGTTTTCAATTGGATTTTTAATGCGAAAGTGGATAATGAAAAAAAAAATGAATTGTGCGATCCATGCAATTATTATAAGTATATCCATTCAGAGTACAATACATGTTTTGCAGGTATCAGAAAGAGATTTGAGAACAACATATTTTCCGGCTTTTAGGACTTGTGTTAAAGCTGGTACTATGAATATCATGTGCAGTTATAACAGGTAACAATAATCTATCATGTATTTGGAAATTTATTTTACTATTTTAAAACTGTAAGAAATTCAAAATTAAAACTTGAAAGCATAACTGATGTGAAAGTAGTAATATTTGAAATAAGTATAGTTGAAATATGCAAGAGGTGTGTCATTTCTGATGAACTATACCAAGCTTCGGTTCCTCAAGCACCGTTGTCACACAAGCAGAATTTAACTTTAAATGTTTTCCAGACTAAATGGAGTTCCAGCTTGTGCCAATAAATTTCTACTAACTGATGTATTAAGAAAGGAATGGGGATTTAAAGGTTATGTTGTCAGCGATCAAATGGCCGTTATAAATGTGATGACTAAACATAAATATACTCATACAAGAGAAGATACTGTAGCAGCCTGTGTTAACGCTGGTTGTAACCTGGAATTGTCTAATAATAAATTCAACCCTGTGTATATGTCTCTTGGTAATTAATATTAATTCAGAAAAATAGATTTATCACTGCCGATATGTTATAAAGTGCGCTGTTTGTGGGCCTAAATTGGATTTCTTTTGTTTTGATCGTGTCTAAAAATCAATTTATTTGACTTTTCCTTTTCCTTCTCGCATGCAGCATTATTGCGCTGGTGTGCATTATTTTCTATTGGTGAGATAATGTTTGAACTTTAAGTGGTCACATACAAATCTCAACTAATGTAATTTTTGTATTGACTTTTATTGCAGTAAAAGCTGTAAAAGATGGGAAGATAAAAGAATCCGTTGTTAGAGATAGAGCAAAGGAATTATTCTACGTTAGAATGAGATTAGGAGAATTCGATTCTCCGTCAATGAATCCCTACACACAGATACCGCTTTCAATAGTAGAAAGTCAAGCTCACCAAGATATAGCTATCAAGGCTGCCCTACAATCATTTGTTCTACTCAAAAATAACAAAGTTTTACCTCTGCCTAAGACAAAGTTCAACAACATAGCCGTGAGTTGCTTTTTTTCTGTTGGGATTTACTGTTGGTGGTGTATTATTTTATGAAGACATATTGGAAAAAAACATTTGTCTGGAGCTCTGTTTTCGCTGTCTGTCTACGAGAAGCATTTAATCAGTAGTGAATAGTGCTTGAGGGAGTTTTTAACCTTGTCCAATTCTTCAAAAGATACAAAAATGATGTATTCGATCCTTTACGGTGTTCATTGTCATTTTTCTATCAGGTAGTTGGACCTTTTGCAAACAACATCAAACAAATTATGGGCGATTATCCACCAGAAACTCAACACAAATTTATCATAACACCTCTACAAGGACTAAAAGCACTTTCAAAATCAACACAGACATCTGATGGGTGCTCAGATCCGGCTTGTCAATCATACGATAGTAGCTCATTAAAACCAGTCGTTCAAAACGCTGAAGTCGTTTTTGTATGCCTCGGAACAGGTAAGAACAGTTAAAGCATATAAACGTTATACCTGATAATAAATGTTGTTGCGGTAACATGAACATATGGATTTAGGATCTGAATCATATCACTGTTTTGCAAAATGTAAAAAATGCCTTCTTTGTTCGAATATTTGTATGTTAGCCTACTAATATTAGTCTAAAATGAACGCATCTGCATTTACCAAATCTCCCGAGAAATTCTGTTTTTATTGACCAGTTCCAGTGTCGATTTACTCTTTTGGAATGTGTTGATTTTTTAATATTCTTCCATTGACATACTTATTTAGGTGTAGCACTTGAGAGAGAATTTGTGGATAGAAAAGATCTTGAACTTGCTGGTAATCAACTTCAACTTTTACAAGATACAGTTACTAATGGTGAGTGTATACTGGTCTGTCAGTGATACAGATCTGAGGGTCAAGCAACGAAAAGGGATAATCTTCTATTGGTTCGGATGGGACAACAAATCGAGAAAGAAGGTTGATACCACTGTCTTGGTTTTTAAGAAATACTTTTTACACTGCATGGTGCACCATCTGTACTATCAGCAGGGGCGAGTTGTTCGTTCTTGAAATATATAATAAACGAAAGGTCTTATTTGATACAGAATGTAACCATTGTGTTATCATTTCAGCCCCAGCAAGCGCTAAGATAGTGCTTCTGATATTTTCTGCAAGTCCACTTAACGTGCAATGGGCAGAGCAAAGTCCAAGAGTTGGTGCCATTATCCAAGCTTTTTTCCCAGCTCAAGCGACTGGTGAAGCCCTCCGACGTGTTTTAACGAATGATGGTCCCGGTACAAGTTTTGGTGGTAGATTACCATACACTTGGTATTCTAAAGGTTCAGACGTGAGTGTATATAGTTCTGTATTTCATACGTGTGAAAATGACAACTGGACTTTTATTTTTTAATATCAGAACAGTATATTATGTCTATCCTAATACGTTAAATGCATTTTCTTTCATTCAAGGTTCCATCAATAGTCGATTATTCCATGCAAGGTAGAACATACAGATATTTCAACGGTACTCCTGCCTATCCATATGGTTATGGTTTATCCTACGCCAACTTCCATTACAAAGGATTTAATATACCTGCCACTGTACGAGCTGGTCATGATGTTCATGGTAGTGTTTTGGTTGCTAATACTGCAGATGTAGATGGCGAAGAGGTGAGAGTCTTCTAAATGGCTATTTCTCTTTATCTGGGACTAGTAGTACGAACTCACAAGCGAACATAATACGTTAAAAGTAAATTAATTCAAACTTTGCCCAAGTTTCGACAAAATCTGGTCAAGGGGATGAAAGTGAAAACTTCATGTGTTTCTGTTACACATACGTTCGGCAAGGAATATCTCTTTTACTGTTATACCAAAGACCACTTCCTTGAAAATAAGAACCCAAATTCACAGATTAGAATGTTGTAACAAATAAACCGAGTAATTGTATTGAATTTTTGAAGGTGGTTCAAGTCTATATATCATGGGTTCAAACAACAACTCCAGCACCACAACGTCAACTAGTTTGGTTTGATCGTGTATCAATAGCAGCCAACAGTCAGGTTACATTTAACTTCACTATAACAGCAGAACAACAGGCTTTATGGATTGACAATATAGGATGGAAGGTAGAATCAGGTAAACGATTATATCTAGAAATATTATGTTGACGTATAGATCAGTTGAAACTTAAACATTATTTGTTTGTTTGTTAGCTTGGTTGTTTGCTTGTTTTGCTTGTTTATTCATGTATTTTACTTATTTATTTCATGAAATTTCATTTATTAATTTTTTTTGCTTATTTTATCGTATTTATTTATTCATTTAGGAAAAATAATGGTCTCTGTCGGTGGACAACAACCTAACCAAAAGAAATCAGTCGGATCCAATGTTCAGAAGGGTCATTTTACTGTCCATGGAGCTCAATTACTTGGAATCTATTAATTTGTTGTACGAAGATTAGAAATAAATGCCATCAGTATTGCTGCTTATTAAAAATAATATATAAAGTGTCTCAATCAACAAAACTGGTTAAACACACACATAATTAACATTGTCAGTAGAAACCTAATATTTTGGTTCCCTTTATAGTGAATTCTCCTTTCATATGACCCGTATCACCAGATTTAGCTTGACCTGGAAGTTCACCACCAGCATAAACTGTCATTGTTCCTGTAACAATATTAAATGGCAATTATAATTATTCGAACACTCTTGTCGAAAATATTTTGCGAAAAATCTAGCTCTTCAATTAAAAATTTACTGACATAGTATATCAACAGTACCCAGTAGCCAGACTTAATGGTGTAATGTTGTTACGTTTCAGTATGCAAAAGTGAACCACATCTGCCAATTCTGGGCAGTTTCTGAAAAGCTGATTCTACCCTGAAACTACCAGATCCACGTAATCATGAGATCATCTGGACATACCCTATAATGGCTGCCATTAAAAAATTCTATTATATGTTTCAGAGAGCCAACAGCACTTTCACGATAGATTGTTTGGATGTAAATGATATACAATGATGCATAAAATAGTTATCGATCCTTACCTTCCTCAACAACCCAACCCTTATCATCCGTATAAACAGCCATATTTTGTGGTGAAATAAAAAATCGAAATGAAGTAACATGATATGATTCAATACGAACTCTGGTAAAGTTCACTAATTGTATCTGCGGTGTTTCTACACTTGGTGAATTCCATGAAACATAAACTTGAATAATCTGTGAAAATATATTTTTTGATGATTCAAAAAATATTGATAAATGCATCTGTACCAGCTGCAATGTCAAGTGCCAAACGGACAAGTTGATGCATGTAGACTGCATCCTTTTAGAATAGCAATCTGAAGCAAGCAAACAGAAGTTCGTAACATGGTATTTGGTGGTAGGGGTTGAAAGTCGATACTGGGTCGACACTCGAAATCACCGGCAGGGCCTCAAAATAATTTTTGCCTTGATAGATTTGGATTAATTATAGAAATTATTAGTTTCTGAATTAATTTTACTATTATTGATATTTTCTTGCACAATCGCCAATGGATTTAAGAAATATGCTCACCTCGTCAGCAGGTTGTTGACCATTGTTCTGTACAGTTATTACACCTAATATAGAATCACCAGCATTCACATATTGATCTAGATATAGCTCTAAATATTCAAATGATGAATAAGTGAGACCATAACCAAATGGATATAATGGTTCCTGTTTGATATATTTATATGTTCGGCCTTGCATTGTGTAGTCGATCATTGGTGGTACCTGTTGATGAAAACTACTTATATACAACCTGCCCTAATGGGATTTTTGAGACGAAACAGAACACTTACTGATATTACTTCTATATTTAGATGCACGTTCATGATACTGGTTCAAAAATAACACCTTTGGAATTTCTGCAATTGTCTCTAATTTTAAAAAATAGTAAAACTGGAATATTAAGGATTGGAAATCCGAGACACGGGTTCTTACCCTTGTACCCGTCGAAACGTGTACGTTCGTTCATTGAATATAATTAAATAGTGTTCAGTACCTGATCGCAAGTGTGGTACCAAGTATATGGTAATCTACCAAATTGAGAATGGTTGGAGCTCTTCAAAACATTATACAGAGCAACACCAGTAGCTTGTCCTGGATAGAAAGCAGCTATAATTGCTGATACTCTTGGATTCATATCAGCCCATGTAATATTGACTGGTCCAGCATTGAATGATATTAATATAACCTTAGCTGATCCACCTGCAATTTTGAACGTATAAACTCCTGACAGACTCTAAAAAAGCCAAAATTTGAATGAGGGTGCAAGTTCAGCCAATGAAAATTACTTTGGCAAAAGTTCTCGTACTAAATTATCTTTAAGTTTAAAGATATACTTTTATTTAACCCACAGAAAATGGTTTTGATCTTTCCCAATAAGTGAGCTTCAGATCCAAGACACTGTGCATACACATGGTTACAAATAGATGGACAGTGCTTGATTTTTATGCTTGGTGCATAAAGTATAAAGAAACAGGTCAAACAGCTTACTATATTTTATGGAATCTTGAATAAGTTGATTTTGCTTTCCAGGTAGTTCCATATTTTCTCTATCATGACCTTCAGTTTCCAAAACATAACCTGAAATATTATTGGACGCATACAACAATTGATTTATATGGATAAAAGTGCTATATTCTACGAGTATTTTGTGTACCTATGACAGCTTCATTGCAGCCATTCTGGTTTCTCTTTCCAATGGAAAGTTTCCATGAATTATTAGAATCTGATACATGATTCAAGGTCCCCAAATATTTGAAAATCGGATGGAGAACCCTTTAAGGTGGTGTTTTGTGTTAAAATTTCAAGTCACCAAACCAGAATTTAACCAATGTCCTTCAATTGGAGGAGGTAAATGTCCTAGCACTTCAATCATGCATTCCTCATGTGTCATACAAATCCAAGAAAATCATCCACATCTAAACTCAAATCCATACTTACCTAAACCAATACAAAGGATTACTATATCTACGTCTTGAACTGCCTTTTGTACCGAATGTGAATCATAGTCCTTACAGGCTGTGTCTTTACAACCACTTGCATATTGTAAGGTATTGGCAAGTGGCCCTAGAGCAAATTTTGGCGTGTACACAAATTTCAGATCAGGTTGAGCTGCATAATCTCCACTTAATAGCTTCGGGTTGTCAGCCATAGGACCAATTAACTAAATCATAAAATATATTAGTTATTGGTTTGAAATACGAGGAAAATATATCCACATCCGCCAGCTATCGTTCTTTACTTAGTAGTTTCTAAGTTTTAAAAATGTATTAAGCGAAAACTTTTTATTTTAAAAAACTGTCGACAAGGGAACAATTCAATGCCATATAAACGGTGGACGGAACTAGCACATCCACATAGTTTCAAGATCTATCTGAAGAGTACCTTAATGGTCATCTCATTAAATAATTTAACTTGATATTGATGAGCAGAATAAATAATAAATTTTAACTCACAGCTATCTTATCGTAAACAGATTTTCGCAATGGCAGAGTACCGTCGTTCTTTAACAAGACAAACGATTTCATGGCAAGTTCAGAGGCTAGGTCTCGGTGTGCTGCGTTTTCAATAACATCAGTTGTAATTGAGGCGTAGGGATTCATTTCTGGTGGATCAAATTCTCCCAACCTCATTCTAGTATAAAACAATGGTTTCACTCTTTCTCGTACCAAATCTTCCGTAAGTTTTCCTGCCTTTACGGCATCGGCTGTATAAAAAATAGATTTCAATATTAAAAAGTACTTGAAATCTAAGCTTCAGCATTCATACAACGCGAAGGGTTATTCCACAAATAAAGGATAGCTTGCCAGATAAGATAACGTATGCTCACTGACAAAATATGAACTAATAAACTGTTGTATTTACTTCAGTGTTTAAAAAAGCTCATAAAACTTACGTATCTGTGTAAAATAATTGACTGTTTTTCTAACACCACAGAGCTCCAAACTCACTCCAGCATTCACTGCACCTGCTACAGTATCTATACTGTTATTAAAGAAATGATGTGCAGACTCTATCAGCTCTATTGCTCGACCATCACTTACTACATATCCTGTAAATCCCCATTCACCACGTAAAACATTAGTTAGTAGTTCCTTGTTGGCACATGATGGTACTCCGTTAATACTACAATGATAATAAAAGGGTATTTGCGTTGTAGGTTTTCAAACACCAAAGGGATATGTCCTTATGTTGGGACATTTGCACGTTTCTTTGGGGACATTTGACGTGTCACAGGCTATCTTTCATATGAAGCTTAATTTGATGCATTCCATCCACCTGTACATAAAAAAATCAGAAAAATGCAATTGTTACCCATACCTATTATAACTACACATAAGACTGTATGTACCAGCTTCTACACAATATCTAAATGCTGGTAGAAATGTTGTCCTCCAATCTCGAGTAGTAACCTAACAAAAGATTTACTACAATTAAAAGAGATTAACGTCAATATGTAAATAAATTTTTACAGCAAATATACTCTTCCTAAAAAATAAACTTTATTTTGTGGATTGATCAGTCAACTTATCATATTTATGAATTAATACTTACATTTGCACTGAAATATTCTCGGTGAATTGGAATATTTTCAGGACCAGCATAGGCATCAAAATGTTTACATCCGGCACTAGCTCTAACGTATCTAGGATGGTCACCCTGTAAACCTTTTACGTACGCCTGAGCCAACATTCCAGAGAGAAAAGGATCTTCACCGTATGTTTCCTGTAAAATAACGAAAATGTCATTGTGAATGTAAATTTCATCCAATTAACTTCTACGAATTATTACCATTATATGTTGTTTTAGATTGAAGGTTTTGCGGTTCAGATCGTTCGTACTTTTTCTTTTAAATACGATGTCAATACAAAAAATTGCAATAGAAGGTAGTACAGAACATAAATGAAGATAATGAGTATTATGATGCCTCTGGTCAAGAGGACTTGTGTACCTGTGTGCAACAATCTGGGTTTTTGTTATTATCATGAAGTCAATTTTGTTGAAATTATCAATGTTTCCAAACTAAGCTATGTAAAATCTCGCACACTGCAACTGTAAAGTGTGAAATACATAATATAATATATAATGGGCTTACCTGATTTCGACCCCATCTAGGATCTCTAAAGATGTTAATTACGGGAGCAAAACAACTTAAACCTCGTGAATATCGACGTTCTTTTATTCCATCATTATAGTACGCTCTTAACTCTTCAGATGTAGCTTCTGCCATTTGGAAAACAGCATCTGTGCTGCAACAGAGGAATTTAAACGCTAGTAGCTTGCTCATGCTATGCCTCACAGCTCTTGTGCATTAATTGTAAAACGTATAGATTTACCGAAAAACTCTCATGTAGACAAGGTTTAGGTGTTAAAATAGATAATAAACTGGATAAGATATTTTCACCAAGAAAGGAAACCAGAATATTGAACGATCAAATATGCTACGATAGATCCACCTGATTCGACCATTGTTCCCCATAGATCTCACGACACGAAACCAGGCATAAATCAAAATTGAGAAAGCTTTAGATTTCTCACAAAGAATCTCATAATCAGAAACCACCAACCTCCATGTTGCTGCTAACCCTACAGATTGTGGGAAAGAAGTAGCATTTATGCCCATTATGCCATGTAATGAATTTGTTTTCCATTGATATGGTTGAATACCGAGTCGAGATATAGCTGGAGTGGGGCTAAAGGTGTCGCCACCATACGCCATTTGTAACGCCATTTCCTCAAGAGTCAACCTCCCGACCAAATCATCTACTCGTCCGTTCCACGATAAAGAGACATTACGGAAGGGATAATCCTGTTTAGTAACATCAATTATCCAGAGAATTACGAGTAATGTTTTCACAATCATTTTACACTTGTAACAGACAGACAGGCAGATAATAATCATTATCTTGTAATAGTTATCATGATATCGTTTTCACCTAGTTTCTTCTGGATATATCAGTGTTGATACGACTTTATCAAATATTTGATTGCATCGTTGTCCCTTTATGTAATCAAGTTTTGTTAACTCTGCAATATCATAGAGAAAAATTTGACTGTAGAGCTATATATTGATTTCATTAAAACAAAATGATATGAAAACATACTTAATGAGTTAACAATTTGTCGAAGTTTATCTGTAAGAGAAAATCATTGGTTGTGGTCTAAAAACTACCAATTCCTATCGATTGGTTCAAAATCTAAGAAAGCAAGCTGGAATAGTGACCAATCAAGATGATATACTACAGTAGATCTACCAGATATGATCATTGTTCCTCATACATCTCAGGACGCATCTGACGATAAAAGGCATAAAACAAAACAAATTGGAAATCTGCAAACAGCAGTGTGTATAGATTTCATAGAAAGGTTGCCCAATAAACATATAAAAAATCACCAACCTCCATAAAGCTGCAAGACCTATGGATTGTGGAAAGGCTGTAGCGTTTCGACCAACCATACCATGTAAACATTCGGTACCCCATTGATATGGTTGAATACCGAGTCGAGATATAGCTGGAGTAGGGCTGAATGTGTCGCCACCATAAGCCATTTGTAACGCCATTTCCCCTAGAGT